GCTTCTTAGAAGAAGAAGAATGATCGCTAGGACCATTCTCAGCTAATAAAAAAACATTGGAATCTTTCAAAGCTGTAGTCAACTTCGTAACATGATCAACACTACGTGAAGTATGGTCACGCACGAAAAGAAATCTGCCCAAGCTTCACCAATAGCGACATCTACCTCCGAATCGCCCCCACGTTGAGCACCCACCAATTGCCGCACACAAGCCCCCCTGGTCCAACGTGCGACCACATACTGAGAAGGGATAGAAACAACCCTACGATCCTTGAAAACCCAGAAAATATGACAACAAAGTAACCCAACCCGTGAAAACATTTTACACGTGCACTCGACAACATCATTATCAGAGTCAAAACTCACGGTGCGCACCGGCTCAACACCATCTTGAACCTCATACTGGGTTACCAACCCTTCAACATTCGAACGCACAGAACGACACGAAAAAGATCCCGCAATAACCTCGGCTTGCACATCATAAAAAACATTGACAGTATACACCGCAGTCACATGTTTCTCAATCAACAACGGAGTCTGGCACAAAGGAAAGTGGCCCTCACATTCGGCATTGAGTTTGGCCTGCACCAAACGTTGAGCATCAATATCCCCTTCAGAATTTTTGAACAACTCAGACAAACTAGCATGTTGGTTTGTGCAACTACCAAACACACTATTCGCAGCTTCGGACCTAGATGTCGTGCGAAGCAGACCACCCATGAAAAGATCATTAAAAAACGCAGGGATCCAATACGATCTCAAATCATACATAAGACGAAACCACCGGTGATCACCAAGGCTATACTTTTCCATTACGTCCTGCCAACCCCGCTCAAACTCTTCCACGGACAACATCTCACACCAAACAACATCATTCAAAGCACGCTGAAACTCCTCGTCTTTAGATATAACATTACCAACCTTTGACATTATATGCCACATACAAAACCTGTGCCGCGTAGTATCAAACACCTGTGGGACTGCAACCCGCATCGAAGGATCTTGATCAGTGATAGTGCAACTAGGCACACAACCCATTGCACTTTTAAATTGCTAAAGAAGCCACACATAAGAGTCCACATCTTCACAGGAAATTAAACCAGTTGCAAATGTGACGCCTCTCTTGTGATTATCAACACCAGTAAACAGAACCAATACCATACCATACCTGCAATACATAACACCAAAACCAAAAAAAGAATATAAGCATGGTCATTAGCATACTGCATGCACAAATAAATAAAACCAAACAGCACATACCAGCAATTTAAAAAAAAAACCAACTACAAGGAAGTTTTTTTTAAGAACACATGGCTTAGCTATTGGTACCATAAGTCGCATCAAACGACACCACTGCCCCAAAAGCTGAAAATTTTTCCTTTGCAATAGGGTCAGCCCAAAACACCCTACATAACTGATCCTGCGAATCTACTTCATATTTAAAGACATAATCCGGACAATCGTCTACCTTCTTAGCATATTTTTTCACAACAATATGAGCATCAGAAGTCCCAATATATGCCATTAAATCATGCCTCAAATTTTTAAAATCGACACATGTCGCACCAACATTGGAATACGACCCAGCAAACTCCCTAGCCAAACGAAACGACCTATTAGGCCCAACGTTGGCCCTAGCACACTTAAGCACAAACATCTGGTGTTGCACATCCATGGAACGATTAACTCGCAAGAAAGGCTTAGCCACATCCGAGCACAAACAGTGATTATGACGTAACTCTATGAAATGAACCACAAAAACCCCATGTCAACCATCTTCAACACCAACCTTGCTTTGCAACCCACCCTATTTGAAACAAGCCGGCGCTTCGGAGCCACAGGTGGTTGATCCAACGCACCATCCACAACAACGGCCCCCCCCCCCCCCACTCCCTACTTGAATCCTTCACGCGAACAAACCAACAAGTATTTTACAACAACACCCTCCCTATTCTTACGCCTCGATTGATTGAGTATGGTTTCATATCTTCGTTGTGATCCGTTGATTGATTCCTGTTGAGGTGTGATGTGTGCGTGGCTTTACCTGGATTGCACGATTAGTGGTATGGGACACTAGTCACCAAGGTATTGCAGCGGTCCTCATGGTGGCCGTGACGTGATTATGGAGTTGTGACCTTTGTGTAAGGTTCACGTGATTCTTGGGTGGCATGTGTTGCCGTGTGTGTGATCGCTACCCTCGTGTACTATGAAATCGGTGGTTCTGTTGGAGATCTGCTGGAGAGGGGACGACGGTCCTCGGAGGGAAAAGGTTGGACTTGGTGTACAGGGGTCCTGGAGGTAAAGGTTGGAACTAGATATAAGGTTGGGGGTAGCCATAAGGTTGGAACCGGGCATAAGGAAGGCATATCAACTCGTGATGGGTGAAGTCACGAGGGCTTGTGTAGCCGTTGTTGTGAGTTCTCTTCTTGTGACGTGTGTAGTCACAAAGGCATGTGTTGCCATCGGTCTTGTCTTTATCCTTTGTGTTGTGGTTATCCTTTGTGGTTTTGGGATGTGTTCCCGTATCCTTGTTGAGAGTGTTGAGTCTTGTGTTGACTATTACTCTTGGTTTTGCACTTATATATATGTATTCCGTTTCACAAATGATTTTACAAATGTATATCTTACTTATGTATGATATTTCACATGTATTGGTGGGTTACCAGCATTATTCGCTGACCGGGCGTCGTCCCATATTTTATTGTGTTCTTTCAGGTGATGTCTAGACGAGTGCGCGGTCTAGTGCTTGCTAGTATAGCTTCTCCCTCTTTGTTTTGTGACCTGTGTGCCATTTAGATGTAGCACTTTGAGACTATGGGTTTAGATGTAAACATTGCAGATGTTGCCGTAGCGTTCATCCTTTCGGTGAACGTGGTATAACACCCCGTGTTTCGGATTATGTTTATCTATCTATCTTTCAGTCTTCCGCTGTGTTTGTTGTTTAGTTCAGTTATCTGCATGTTTAAGGCTTTTAAATAGCATGTTTTTAGGGGGTGTTACAGTCTCTCTTCTCTTTATCACACTGGTCACAAAAACTTAGAATGCTTGAATATTTTTTGCACTTAGAAATATTAAATTGACCAACACCTTCTTTAGCTAAGGAAGATGGTATTTATAGGTAGGGTAGAATATAGTTCTGTTAGACAGAAAACTATTTTCTAACGCCTAAGTGACTAGTCGATAGAGACCGAATCTTTAGTCTTCTGTCTTGGACTAGAGATAACCACTCGGGTTACTCTTCGACTCAAGCTTTTTGAAAGATAACCCCTCAGGTTGATCTTCGATTCGTTGTCTTCTTTCCATTCGAGAGTTAACCACTCGAGTTACTGTTCAAATTTTTGTTGTGACTGACCTCTCGAGTGTCCATTCGGATGTGTACATTGAGTTACCACTCGAGGTACCATTCAGTTTGATTCGAATGTTGAACAGAAATATCTAAGTCTTGGAAATAAAAAAATATTTGGGGTATAAACTCCTATTGTTTGATATCATCAAAATCTAATACAAAATATTCCTAACATCTGTCATCATTTCTTTATCCGCATCAGTAGGGCTCCTCCCACCCTGCATCTTACCCATCGCCGCCAACACGAGCACCAAATCCGCCACCTTCTTCATAATCCCACCCATCAATCCGTTCACCTTCTTCCCAACAGGCTGCCCGTCGAGCTCCCCATCATTCAACGGCTTCTTCTCCCCGGATCTCACCTCAAACGATGTTGTCTAGGGTGAAAGCGGTGGCTCCCGAAGCAAGACCTGCATAGAAGAGAGAGACGTGAAGGCATAGAGAGCTGAAACCCTAGGAAACCAGGTGAGAGAAAGGGGTATGGGGAAGAGAGTGGTGATATTTTCAACGTGAAAAAAATGGGAATGAGGAATTGGGAGAGTTAAAAAGTATACCTTTTGGCGGGCACATTTAACCATTGCAATTGCAAGTGATACGAAACCCAGTGGCAAGAAAGCAAAGATGAGTCTAAGTTTAATTTGCTTGAAAAATAATCTTAATATTATTTCTAAGATTTTGTAACAACTTAATGGGAAACTCTTTTGTTATCTTATTCTGTAAACTTCTCTCTTATTTTGGAAATGGTTTTCAACTTAATTTTTTTTCAATCTATAAACATTTTATCGTAATTTTATGTCAATCACTAAATACATTTTTATACTTAAGGTGTTATAGTATAATTACGCATATATTTGTATAATTTCCTAATAATTACTATGATAATTAATGAATTAATTGCACAAATATTAGTATAATTGCCTAATAATTATTATGGTAATTAAGGAATTAATTGTACATATATTAATATAACTCCCTAATAATTATTATCTTAATTACTAGTTTTTCACACGCATTGCGCGATTGAGTTAATGCCAAATGCTTATATTTTTATATAAGTACTTTAAAGTATATCAATGCTAGATTATATTAAAGTTGGTCATGCAAAGATAATCAAATGTTAAATTTGCTTATTTAAATAGATAATTGTAAGTTTACGAATGTAAGATAATGCAATTATGTTTGATTATAATTGTCACTAAAATAATTGATGGTAATTTTCTAAATACTTACTCTAAAAATAATAGTCTAAATAATGCTAGCCTAAAAATAATAGTGTAAATAAAATCTACATTTGGTTTAAATTTCTCTAAGCATTCTTAATTCTCTTGAGAGAGCATTGTCATTCTCTTCCTCTTCATCTTTAGTATATATCCTCTTCTTTTGATTTGGTAGTGCACCATGTTCAATTGTGTTAATTGTGATATCATAGTGGGAAGCATCATGCAATGACACTACAGTGTAGGAAGAAGTGGATCTGCCTTGTTGTGTATATGCCTGGAATCTTAGTTGTACAACGAACTCTTGATCTTGTAGGTGCTTGTTAATATTTTGCAGTGGTAGTTTTTTTCCCTACATGTTTCATTCGTTGTGAGATGTGTGCCATATATTCTCATGTGACAGAATTAAACAAAATATTAATATACTTGTAGAAGGTTCATGAATATAGTACCTCTAGTTCTAGATCCATAACTTGTTTACTTGAATGTAACAACAATGACTCTGCAAGTAGTCCGAATACTGATGCCGCAATGTGCCCAGTTTCATCAACAATTTCCACATCCATTTTGCACCTGTGTATTTTGTAGTTCATATTTTTGGAATTGGTATGAATGAGTGTAGTACTTAATCTTGTGTATGTGTGTATTTTTTGTTAAATTGGTTTGTTGAATTGATACTAACCTTGGAGTACCCACGACTCTCTTTTCACCACAATGCATACAGTTAAATTGCTGGTCACTTTGTGCATAAACCTTTTTTAAACAATGGCTACATCCTATATACCAAGTGTTGTTGTTGTCAAGGTTAATGCTGATTTTGCCCTTAATCCAAGCAGGTTGAGACTATAAAATGAAAGTGATTGTTAGTTTATATTAGTTTAAATATATCTAAAGAATGCTTAATAAGTATTTTACTTACATGATTAATGAATGGTGGAACAGTCGCTATTTTTTTAATTTCTTCTTTTTCTGGATTTGCAAGTTTCATTGCAGCATTGTTGTAGTCTCGGCATCTTTTCAATGCGTCAAGTGTGTCACGATGTTCTTTCGCCCTACATAGACAATTTTAATAATGTGTTTTTCAATATAGCTACGCAAGATAATGATATATTTCGCATGTACATAAATAATTACAAGTATAGAAGTATTGTAACACCCCCCAAACAAGACCTATATAAAAGCCTTAACACATGCAGATTGAACAACAAAACTAGCACAACGGAAGATAAAACAGAAACTGGATAAAAGGAATCCGAACGGGGTGTCACGCCACGTCTACCAAACACGGTAAACGCTACGGCAAACAATCTGCAAGTGTATACATCTATCCCAAAACATCAGTCTAAAACTACTTGGGCACACAGGCCACAAAACAAGGATAAAGTGCTAAGCTACCAGGCTCTAGACATCGCGCTCGTCTAAACATCACCTGAAAGATACAAAGATAAACATTGGGACGACGCCCGATCAGCGAATAATGCTGGTAACCCACCAATACATGTGAAATATCATACATAGATAGATATAAGGTGTAAAACCATTTTCGAAACGGAATACATATATATAAGTCAAAACCAAGATCAACAGTCAACACAAGACTCATCACTCACAAGGATAACACGGGAACACATCCCAAACCACAAAGGTTAACCACATGCAAAGGATAAAGACTCACCCAACGGCAACACATGCCAAAGCAACACATGTCTCCGTGACTACACACGTCACGAGAGAAGAACACACAACGCTGGCTTTACAAGCCCTCGCAACATCACCCATCACGAGTTGGTATGCCTTCCTTATGCCCTGTTCCAACCTTATGGCTACCCCCAACCTTGTATCTTCTTTCCAACCATTACCTCCAGAACCCCTGTACTTCTTAGTCCAACCTTATTCCCCCGGGACCGTCGTCCCCCACCAACGACCACCAACGAGACCACCAATTCACGGCAACACATGCCCGGATAACACATGTTATCCCCCAAAAACGTGGACACATCACTCAGGCCACAACTCCATAATCACGTCATGGCCACCACGACGCTGCAATACCTTGGTGACTAGTGTCCCATACCACTAATCGTGCAATCCAGGTAAAGCCACACACGCACCACAACTCAACAAGAGTCAAACAACGAATCACAATGAAGGTATGAAACATACTCAATCAAGGAACGGGTCACAACCCAACAACAACAACGATGAATAACACAAGTTATCATCAACCAAACGGAAGGTACAAACCACACACACGCTAGCATTTAGACAACAAACTAGCATGCTTATCAACGGGAAAACTCAAGATAGTTCCGAGGAACACACAAAACACCTCTTGGTCCAACGAAACACAATGTTGAACACTTAGCACGATTCAAGACTCCAAAGTCCTACATGGATACCTACCATATAGTTCTAGACATACGAAACATCAGGAAGACACTCAAATAGTTCCACAAAAGAACAACGGGAAGTCAAAAGACCAAATACCGAGTCAAACGGATCACGGGGAACAAATCCCGAACAATCACCACTGTGTTCCCCACGGGTGGACCCACGGGTAGGCCCCTACCCGTGGTTCCGCCCGCGGGTACACTACCCACAAGCCTTTGTACCGGCGGGTGGGCGGCGGGTAGGGTTCTCCCCGTCGTTCCGCCCGCGGGTACATACTCCTGTGCAAAATAATCCCTTCGGGGATTTTCTTCTCCAAACACAAATTCAAGTCCAAAACATGCCAAATCTCACCAAATACAACAAAATGACTTGAACCATGGAAAATGCCAAGCAATGGCACAAAGGAACCCTAAACACAAGCTCTAGATATGCAATATCACAAGACAAATGCATAAACCCTCACATTTCAGAGCAAAACACATGTAGAATCCAAGATATCACATATAGGTAAGCAAAATAGGTTTTGTAGAGCATGGGTTACCTCTTGTAGACCAAAAGACTTCACTTTACACCACAACAAGCTCTCCACAAGGCTTACTTTCCAAACCCACTTCAAGATTAAACCAAAAGATCATAAAGATTCTACCTTTAAGGAAAAGACAACTAAGATGGAACCAAAAACACAAGATGAACTTAGATCTTACCCTCCTAGATGCCCAAATAGGTGAAAGGGTGAATCTTGGAAGCAAATCTTGAAATCTTGACAAGGGTCTCAACTTGGCTTGGAGAATAAGCTACACTTCTTTTCTAGAGATAAGGTAGAACTAATTTCTAAGAATTGTAGGGAATGAAATGAAGAAGTCTTCTAGGTTAGGTTACAGTACTAACTCTTGGTGAAAAGTCAAGAATACCCTTACTAACCCTTAGAAAGTGTAAGGAACAAAGGAACTCCCCTCAAAGCTCAAGGTACAACACAACTTTAAGGTTGACTAGTCAAATACTAGTCCTTGAGTATTAAAAATCAGGATTTTAGGAATTAATTCCTCAAATAAAATAGGATTAACTATTCAATTAATCCATGGATTGAATGTGGATTTTTTTGGGGTGTCACAAGTATACCATTCTTTTAGGTGTTCTGCTCTAGGTACCTTTGGTTCAACCAGTATTGTTGAATGAGTTCTTGTGGATAGAGAAATGCCTAGTTTATTCAAGGAATGAGATAATATAAGATTAGGTATTTAAATAAAAAATTTATACATTTTAAATCTTATTAATAATGAAATATGATTTACCTTTAAAGTGAACCACTGCGATGTAATCCAAAGATATTACAGGGTAGTTTCCTGCTTCAATTTCTTGAGTTATTTGAATACCCTCTTTGTCAACAAATCCTCCCCAAGTAGTTAATATGATTGGCTTCAACCTGTGTGTGTGTACCATGAGTTTGGTTGTAGAACCATATCATACATTGGAATGTCATAATCAAACACTGTTGCTTGAACTCGAGTTCCCTACATTTAAATATATCATTTATGATTATGCATTTGATTAATAATAATAATAATAATAATAATAATAATAATAATAATAATAATAATAATAATAATAATAATAATAATTGTTGGTCCCAAAAGAGGTAAGGTGAAAGTCTAGAGGGGGGGGGGGGGGGTGAATAGACTTTCAAACTTTTTCGCACAGAACAACAATTGCTAAGCCAGAGATAAACCAAAACTCTTAACTAGATTGTTAGAGTATGGTGCACAACGGAAATAAATAAACATAAAGTGTGTGTGAGATTGTGTGAGCAGTATATCTCGTGTAGAGCGAATATGTAAAGAGCGGTAAGTAAAGAAAGCAGTAAAGAACACAAGACAATTATAGTGGTTCGCGAGGTAGTGTAATCCTCCTACTCCACTTGCTCTTATCTCCAAGAGCAATTCACTATATCTACCACTCCTTGGTTCCAAGATACAATGAATTTCCGTGATCTAGTGCTTTGATCACAAAGCCCGCACTAATCACGCCCAGTGACACCACACTGCTGCTTCGGGTTTCACGTCACCGCGCTACTATCCCAGGATTTCACGACTCCGCGTTACTTTCCCCCCGTCTTCCACACTCCGGTAGAAACGTATCCCGTGATCTGGTGCTTTGATCACCAAGCCCACACCAATCACGCCCAGTGCCTCCGACACTGCTGCTTCGGATCTCACAGCTCCGTGTGACAATCCAGGATTTCACAGCTCCGTGCTACTTTCCTCCCTTCTCTTGTTTTGCTCCAAAACAAGTGTTGTCTTGCTGCCAACTTCTGAGACTCTGTAGATGATCTTCAATGATGCGCAGGTCTCTTTGATGAAGATAAACACTCTGGAATGATTTCTCTTGATAGCTCTGAGTGTTTTCTCTCTGTGAATATATCAAGTAAAGCACTTGATATTTTTGCTCTGCTTTGCTCTGTTTAAGAACTCTCAGAATATTTCTCTTTTGAAGCTCTCTGAGTTCTTTTTCTTTTCTCACTTCTCACTTGAAGATTTTTGGTATGCTCTGTACCAAATGAGATTTTTGCTCTATGCTCTTTTCAAGCTTAATTGCTCTATTCGATCTCTTGATGAGTTTCGAATTTTCTGCTCTCTTGTTCGTGAGTTCCCCGTCTTCAAGTCTTCATATCTTCATCATTTTATAGCTGGTAATGAGAATCTGTCCGTTGGAAAGAGACGCTCTCATTTTTGAAATCTTGTATCTTTTTGTCAGAGATCTTATCTTATCTTCTGCAAAGATGTCAGAAAGGATAAGCTAGCCGTTGTTAGAGCTTCATCTCCATGTAAATGAGCTCCCAAACTTCATCTGATATTTCCTCTGGTTTTACGTTGAGTGGAAATATTTGGGTGTAGAACGGCTTCTCTGATCAGCTCTGAAGTGGTCTTTGTATCTTTGGGATTTAAAAAATATTCATCAATTTTTTATTTTTATTTTTTTGAAAGGTACTGGTTCTATTACATTGTAGTATCTGTTCATATACTTTCTCAACCTACTGACACACAAAGAACCAATAACGCCTCCACTGAGGCTTGAACTCAATTTAATCCCATACTAGTTAAACTAGTATTTTATCCCATACTAGTTAAACTAGTATTTTTCCTTGTGAGAATATTTTCACTGTACTGGGTTGAATTTGAATTTTTGCTTCCCAATTTGAATTATTGACTTTGACTTCGAAATTGGCTCCCAGACTTCTCCTGGCTCCCAATTTCAATTTCTCTGAAACTAGCTCCCCTAGCTCCCAATTTCAATTTCTCTGAAACTAGCTCCCAATTTCAACAATTGCTAGAAATCGGCTCTCAATTCCTTTGAATTGGCTCCCAAGTGCAATTGTATCTCAATTGCCACCCAAGTGAAATTGCTTGTAATCGGCGCCCAAAGCTTAAACTAGCGCCCAACTCCATCAGATTAATTTAATTTGGCTTCTCAAATTTTACCTTGTAAAATTGTTGATGATGAGTTTTGAACTTGAGCCATTTCACATAATATATCAAGCATCATCCACTTCATCCGTACAGCTTTTGATTAAATCTCCAATCATATTTGATGTACTTCTTTCTTTCCATAGATGCTTGATCTCCAAGTCAATTTCTTGCATTCTTCCAACATTAATTTTCTTCACGAAAATTCTTCTGGGATATCTTCTTTGAGTGGCATTGACGTGAATTATTGTATCATTCATCTTCTTCTTCAATTTTTCATTTTCTCAAGACAAATTCTTGATTTTCGGCTTTATATCTTCTTCTTCTATTTTCATCCATCTTCCTCTGTTTTTCTCTTTTCATAATTAAATAATTTCCCGATCATGGTCTAAGAATCTACTAGACCTATAAAATAAAATTGGGGGATCTACAAATACAAATTTGGCATATCAAAACCATTACACTTTATTCCTAACAATTTCCCCCCTTTTGATAATGCCAAAACCTGTACTCAGTCATTGGCTTTAAGTCTTTGAAAAATAATCTTTATGCTCAATTTTATTTGACAAAGCCAAGATGAGTTTAACAGATGGTTTTCTAGACATAATCAAAAGAAACTTGTGAATTAAATTTTTAGACAAGCTCCTAAACGCATCTTGAATTATTTTTTTATTTTCATCATCAATTTTTAATTTTGTCGTGCGTTTGACATATTTCTTGTCTTTTAATTCACGAAAGTCTAATTACATTAAACAAATAAAATTAAAGACTCAAAATAGACCATGGAAAATATTTATTGTTATATTTCGAATTTATAGAGAAAAACGCAACAGAGGTTCGAAAATAGAGAAAATATCAGCTCAAGAGAATTTTCAGATTACCTTCTGGGTTTCTTCACACTAGAGTCTTTCTTCAAAATTTCCTTGACATGTTCTCTGAGCTTGAAGAAATCATCTTTGAACTTTGCATTCTGAAATTTCTTTGTAAGCTGTCCGGCCATATAATGTCCATAAGCTTCTTTGATGTTGTTGCCCGGAAGAACTCCGTTTTCCCACCATAAGACACATTCTTCGAAGCTTCTTTCTTCTCCAAGATTCATGCCCATATTTCCGGTGAAATCTCTTAGTTCATACCACATCTTGGTTCTTTTCCTTTTGCCTTCTTCTTCTTTATTCTTCTCCGAGATCCATTGGGCTTGATCGGCTGCAGGCCATTTCTTGATCATGCTTGGTAGATTTTCCTTAGTCCATATTGTTGTCTGAGTGGCGGTACCCTTAGAGCATTCAAACCAGTCACGCTGTTCAGCAACCTTTGATGTACTCGTACCAAGACTAGGATTCGCGAACTGAGCAAAACCAATCTGAGATGGTCCTTGTGAGGATTGTCCGCGGCTTCGGCCTCTACCTTGAGTAGACACTACTGGCTGTTGTTGACTTTCAAGAATAAATTCTTGTTGTTGCAAAGCCATGTGACTGAGAATTTCTTCCCCCCTTTTGGCGTTATCAACAAAAAATGCAAGGGTCTTAGAATCTCGGTCTTGATTTGCCTTCACAGTTTCAACATTGTTGTGTGTTTCAATGGAAACGGTTTGCACGTTGTCAAGCTTGTTTGTTGTAATTGCGAGTTCAGCTTCAAGTTTGTTGATTCGGCTTTCTTGATCTTGAATCGCTTTGATCTGTCTCAAGTGACGTTCGTTGTGAATCTTTTCAGCTGCTTCACGTTCCTTCTTCATGAGCTGAATCACTTCAAGTAAGCCTTTTGTCAATTCTCCTTTCAAAATTCTTTCTGCTTTGTCAATCTGGGTCTTCAAAATGTTTTGATGCTCCATTAATTCCTTCAGATTGACTCGTGTATCCATGTGTTGTTGATCCATCTTTTGATTTTGTTCAACCAACTTTTCTCCAATTGTTTGACAAACAACATCACTGGATTCGGTTACTTTGGCAAATAAGGATGAAAATATGCCATCATCTTGATCATTCATCTGCACAAAGTTTTGAGGGGATCCGAATGGACTTCTATTCGGATCTGTGAGAACAACTGTATCAATAAGTTGCATCCCTTCTTCTTCAGGTGATTCGGCTTCTTGATTGAGATCACCAACTTGTTCTTCTAGGACTTCTGTTCTCTTGTAATTGTCTGCAAATAATTCTTCATTTTCTAGAACAGGGTCCATGGTAGGCATGGTAGACTCGGTATGGTGTACCGGCAATACACTAGATAAATCCTTTGTGATTTGCAGTCTACTCTCAGTAGCAACTTCTACTGCAACCTCCACTGGTATATCTCTTCTTCTTTCTTCTGACACTTGTTCTCTTATTTCTCTTCGTACTGACACTTCTCCTCTTAATTCTTTTCTTCTTTTATCCCTTTTGTAGCCATAATATATAATTTTTTAATTCCTTTTTATTTTATTTTTATTCATATATTTTTTTTGTGTCTTTTTGGCTACGAAACTTTTTTTCTTTTTATATACGTAGAGATTTTTCATTTTATAGGAGAGAGAGACAGAGAGAAAATAGAGATAGACAAAACCAGTAGCAAAAACATCCCTTTTCATTATTTATCTCCTTCTTAGGGAGAAAGAAAGAGATAACATTTTTGGATCAGGTCACATCACATATTCAGGCTTCATTAGCAGAGAGACCAGCGCCGTGATTAGTCTCAAGATCAGCATGCGGTGGAGACGAAGAGCTTGATTTCAGAGTATAGACTAATCCGGGTTCCATTGAGAGTTGAGCAGATCGCTTGAAGCTGCGAGTTAGAGGACGAGAGGACAGTGGTGATGGCGTCGAGCGTCGTAGTTGCACTGCTGAGACTTTCAGACCTTTTTGAACTTGATCCTTGGTCGGTGGTTGTCCTTCCTCTTCTTCAGAGAATAGGATGAGAGGATCGCTAAGTGTGTCTCCAACT